CGCTCCCGTGTGTCTGTCAGGGTGCCGCGGGGCGGGACTCACTCTTGTGTATCTGTCAGGCACGCCACGGGGCGGGACTCACTCCTGTGTATCTGTCGAAGACACGCCACCTGTGGGTGCCGCCGATCCGCCCATTCAGCGTCTTTTTTTCATGACACCAGCTGCGGTCCGACCCGCCCTCCTGAGCTACAGCCGCGCACATCTGTGGTCTGGGCCGCACACTGTGATTTTGTGGTCTGGCTTACTGTCTGGCATTGTACGGCCCGTCGCTTACGGGCCAGCTGTTGATAGTTAAATGCTGGACGTGATGATTCATGTTTTCGCCATACGCTGTTTATTTCGAAGTGTAATTCCTTCTATTTTATTTGTTAGTAATTCCTAATGTTCTCTATCTTAGCTGCTTATTCTCAACTACAAGGAAGCCCTCACATGGGTATATTCGTCATCTTTTGAATATGAATCCTATACATAGGCTCCTTTGTTCATTATTTCCCTCCGGTCCACCAGACGGTGCTTTCTCACCGATAAGGGCGCTGCTCAGATGGAACACCCGTTGTCGCCTGTTTTGCTCCCAGCATTTACTCCGTAACATGTCATTGGCCCGCGGCCCTAATATGCTGTCAGCAGTACATTATGCGGGCTGTAACCTTGCTCCTGTCCTACGGAAGGTACTCCCTCAGTGAAAAATATGATTGCTCGTGATCAACATTTCAATCCTCATGTGAAGCGAAAGCAGCATAAAGGCTTCACTACGACTGCCAGATACCGTGACAATACAGAGTGATTGCTGGACAGTTGTAAGCTGAACTTAGCGTTCTATTTTAGTCATTGCTGTCGTATTCATCTAAGAAAAAAAACTTGGAGACACAGACAATAGCGTGCTGTTCAAAGAAAAGGCATCAGAACGTTGTCATGCTTGGTGTTTTACAGGTACAACACTGTTGTGGACTGGTAGGTAATGCGTACTACCTACTACGTACCGAGTGTTGACTGGTCTTACGTGGTATCGAAACTTTTTATAAATGCCTATGGTGCTGCCGCCTGCCACAATCAAACATTATGAGAAACGTCCATACTCTTTATAAACCGACTGTCAGTTTCCTCGTTCATAACCGCTCCATTTCACATCGCCCTCTCAACTTATCCTGCCATGCACCGTTTGAATGTAGGATACCATCCGTATTCCGTATTGGCCTCTAACTAAAGCCTCACTAAGCACCAACCTAAATTTGCAATACCACGCCTCATGAGTCCATCTCCCCTTTTCGTCTTCAGACTGAAGGGCGACAACGACGGCGGGTTCGACCAGCGCAGTTCGAGCATCATCCGGCTCAACAACTCGACCGTGTTGTACCTGAGGGAGGTGAACCGCTTCCTGGCGCTGGTCTGCATCGTCCGAGCAGACAACTTCAGAAAACAGGGTGAGTGGGGGGTGGGAATGGTGGCTGCTGGGAATAGAGGGGTAGAGGGCAGCGTATCAGCTGTGTGCGGTGGGAACGAATGGAGGGCCGCAGTGCACTATGCGATACTCGTAGACGGACACCCAGTGTTGCCAGCTGTTGGCTTAAAACTGAAGTGGCCTCGTCTATCAGTGTCTTCAACTTGTTTTCTATAACATTCGTGACGATAAATCCTATATTTGATCTATCTCTGGGACGTGCCGTCAGGTCTGATCGACTACAACTTCACATGTTTCCGGAATAGCATACAGAAGATCTTCGAGCTACGTTCACGGCGCGGCCGCTTGGCGGCGCTGCCGTCGGTCGGCGCCAAGATAGATGGCGCTAACGGCGAGGTGTGAAACGGCCGCGAGGTCCTGGGACTGGTGCTGTATATTGGTCTGTATGTAAATCACTGTAACGTACTGCGCGTTTGAGATGTATATCGGTGTATAGCGACGAATCATGGCGCGCCGCGGGCGGCAGGGAGGTGCAGTTCCTATCTACGGAGCCGCCGTGGGCCGATCTGCAGCAGGGGTGCTCGAACGGGCTGGCCTCTTGTCGCCCACTCCGGGCCACAGTCTCAACTCGGTAAACGGGCCTGGAGGGGCGGCGAGGACGGGTCCTGGTTTTATAAACACCTCACGTGTTCATATGGTCGTGATATGATAATATATAATGCTTTGTCAATGGACACCAGTGTGTGCTGAGTGCTCACTGTTTTGTTAAGTTGGTTCGCATTATACCTGGTAGATATAGCGTATCAGCCTCAACTTAAGTAGGGCCTTTGTCCGGAATTCAGCAGTTCTAGCCTTCTCCGGAAGCTGGGTCGACGGTTTTAGACTGTGTGTCGAAAAGATCTGCGCTATTCGTTCGACATGATCAACGTTGTCCCTTGTTTCACAAATAGGCGACTTTCAAAAACAAACCGAGCCCCGACTCAACGAAGCCTCATGGCTGATGCAATGATTCAGTGTCCTGAAATTTGTCGATTTGGGTGGGAAACAACATCCAAATGATGGTAATTTTCCACTCATTTCAAATCTTCAAGAGCGATTTTCCACTCCCAATCTAAAAAACGAAGAGTATCTGCGTGCATGGTCGTAAACCATCATATTGATGCACGTAATACAAGCTACATTCTACCACATGTGTATGATGATGCATGCCATCAATCCGTTTTCCCTTCATTCTTACCACTCCCACCTGTTTTTAGCTTTACATCACCGGCAATTTTCCACTCTTATCTCCCTGGTAACTGAATAATTTACGGGGAATATTTGTTTCTGGTCCCTAAAAAGCTGTTTCTGGCACCTAATTGCTGATCAGCCCCAAAATGCTTATTCGACCCTAATATCTGAATCTGGCACCTAATTGCTTCCACACAGCCTAAAGTTGCCAGATCGTCTAGTTAAACTCCGTATTTGCTGTTTGCTGATTCAGCACCAAAACCAAAACATCCAGCACCTATTTTATTCCACGTTTGCCTACCTAGTACCTAATTCGCGTAATCTTCCTGATTTTATGTATCCTAACAAACATGAACGTTGCATTCGGTGATGTCAAGTGCCATTTTCGCAAGTGGAGATAATGATTAATGCCATTTCTAGCCAAAAGAGAATCACTAGCCAGCTATGGTGCAGCATAGCAAGACGCTCCTATACCAGCCCGCTATGTAGAGATTATTGCACCCTCAGCCATTTTAACGTGAAAAGTTTGGATCCGTCACTTCCAGCCAGGCTCTCCGGTCATAAACTGGAGTAAAGCAAAATGTCAACTCTGAACAGACATGCCACGCAACCGGACCTCTTTTCAATATTATTAGCTTTCTGCAATCATCGTCTGACTCCATCTCGATCAAACGCAGCATCCGGTTTCTACAGGGGCGTTTGACTGACCGGCCACACAATAACCAAAAACAAAATCAAAGCTTCATGCGCACATAAGTAAGAAACGGATGAAAAAGGCACAACCACGCCCCACGGCACAACTCTGCGCGGCAAACAACGGACAATGTCCCACGCAAGATCCCGCGTTTCTTCAGCGGCCTTGAACGGAATGAAAACATTACATTTCTTTTTTGGAGCTATTTAATGACGTCAAAAAATACAATACCCGTTTTAATGGTCAAAATTGAGACAATTACTCACAAAAATGTTTCCCTTTAAGCATTACAAATAAATACTTTTAAATATTTAAATGACATTGTTTTTCAAACAAATCAATATTATTTGCTTACTTAAACGTCATATACAATTCTGAGATCACTACGGGGCTGTCTTAGAGTGTAGCTGCACTGGCAACCTTTAGGCTAGACTCCAGGGGTCATTATACCAGAACATGATTCTACCAGCCAGTAGTTCATTTTTCTACTAGATTGGTGCTACGCTCAGCATTTAGGTGCCAGATTCAGAAAAAAAGAGTAAGGCGTACCGATGAATAGGTGCCAGAAACAGCTAATTAAGGTCATTTTCCATGATTGGTGCTGGTATCCACCAAATAGGTGCTGAGGACCAATTTTGGGACGAGTCAGCTTTTAGGTGCCAGAAATAGCTTTTCTGGGACGCAATTAAATGGCGTCCATAATTTACCCCTTTGACACCCAAACCAAAATATAATTCTGGGACACTGCAATGATTCATGCCATGTGATTCATTCAACGGTATTACGCACTGCCAGCATCATGCGTACTTTCAGATTTGGCTTGGCCACAATCCAGACTGAGCAGAGGTTTGCGTAGTTTTGTTACATAACATCCTTGAATTCGCTCCCCCAGCGAATTGTTACCTACTCGTGAGTACCGCGGCGTGGCCCGGCACCTCCCATGTTCGAGCCGTCAACTCTAAAAATAAACAAATCACTCAGCTCTTCTGGCATGTTACAAGCCCCCTGTACCCAACATGTACCCGGTTGCCCGTCATCTCTGACTGAACTTATTACTTGGTGGTCAGGTAGCATTCTACGACAGTGCCCCTATCTTCTCATTCGCAGCCCGGTCTAGCGCGACCGAGATGAACGGCCCCTCCCACGTATCCTCTCCGATAGCTCATCTCTGGAGTAGCTCAGTTCACGAGCTTATCAGTTCGGTTCACAGTCGGGGGCCGTCTGACCGTGTGCTATCTTTGAGTCAACAGGGAACGCCCACCGGTATCTCGTGGCGCACTGTACACAGATCGTAATCGTTAAGACCGGCGGGGATGCGAGCGTCTGTGCTAATGTGGTTCAGAGTCGCTTTTCACAGAGGTAGAGTCATACTTTGTTTTATTGTCGTGCTGGCTTGGTGCTGGCGTTTCATGATCACGCTTGTTATATAATGTCCAGATGAGTGCGTCATCCCACCTCGATTGACCTAACCTAACAACTGCGCTACGGATTGATCAATGCATTGATCAGTTTACTAGCCATGCCCCGTCACCAAACCGCTCTTGACTAGCGGCGTGCGCGGTTATCTAGGGCAGGCACACCAGTTTAACAACGCTGAGCCTCTATCAGTGCGCTTATTCAACTCCTTTCCCCTGCATTACCGAACCGCTAAGCACCAACACGTGACAAAAACCAGCGTCTGGTTTAGAGTACGTGTATTTCTCTGTTCAGCACACGTGGTACTGTGCTCACGAACAACCGCTGTCAGCTCTCAGCTGAAGAGTAAGTAATCGATTTCTGTACTTGCGTCATTCCGTCTCACTCCGACTGCCAATACAATCCTCAGAAAACGTTTCCGCGTGCCGCTCTGCGAGCGTCCAAACCCTGTGGCCCGCACGGTACAGCGATACAAACATGCAGGCGGGTAGGTACATTGATGGCAGTCACGGCTCTGCCGCGCCGCCTCTGAACAAGTGTGTGTGTGTGTGTGACGTCACTCAGCCGGTGTGACGTCCGATGACGTCACCTCACAGCCGCCCGGCAGTGGCGCGCTCACAGTTTGGCGATGCCGATGACGCCGCAGCAGACGCGGGCGCCGGCGTTACCGGTGGTGCTGCTCAGCTCGTGACCGCCCTTACCCAGGTCATCGACGTCCGCGTGGCACTGAGGGGGAGAGGGGGAGGTCAGGTGGCGCTGAGAGAGGGAAGCACCCGGGGGGGGGGGGGGGGCGAGCACGTGGTCAACATGAACGTGGATTCAAGACAAGAGGACATTTGACATAAGCCCACAGTAGTTTCAAATGGTCGGGTAAATACATCTGAGGAAAAGAAACCGCCGTCGGTAGGTAAGTTTAAACAAAAACTAAGTACCAAATCCAATTAAAGGAAGCATGCATTCACCAAACAGCACCCAAAGACGAGAAGTCAGTCATACCCATTGGGTCCACATTTCTCCATTCCCACACTTCTCGTCACGATCATCTAGGACACAGGACGCACCGCACCCCACTGTGGTCACGACAGTCAGCCGCCAATGACACTCCAAACTACGGACCGTGCCGAGTAGGTTCAGCACCGGCCTCAGGCGCCGAGATGACGATTGACGAGGGTGGTGGAAGCAGAAACGGTTGTCATGGTTACGACGCAGAACACAGTTCGTTAAACGAAAGGAAGCTATGTTCTAGTAATCTTGTGGAAGCCCTGCGGTTGGACTCGTGGACTTTGGAGGTGGTGAGAGAAAGCACGGCCCCCATGACTGCCCAGAGAATCTTGTTTTAGTCACTAAACAGGCGCCACATGATCAGCAAACGACAGGTCGAAAGACGCATTGAATACAAACGAACTTCGAAGCATGACTGGCTGCTAGTTGGGGGTTGATCAGCCAGCAAGCCCATAAAACGAGGATAGCTGTCAGCTGAAATAGTCCTTACTTCCTATCCAATATGGACCACAACACGTCCCGCAAAAATAATCAACTTACACAGAGACATTTCACTGCAATCCCAGCTTCATGTAACGTCATAAACGAAAAGTAGCGTTCACAAAAAAGTGTTCGCAGTCTCCCCGGACGAACAACATTCTACGCCGTCCGGCCAATCCCGTTCGATAACCGCAGCCCAGCCCCCGCCGACCTTGAACGGCATTGGCCGGATGACGTAGAATCTTCGTCGTCCGGGAGACTACGAATTCGAAATATATCTTCCTTCTTCCCGCCTAAAATTCGGTCCAGTCGTCAGAATGAGAAATATCCTCCCGTGCAGGGCATCTGAGCGCCATTTTCCGCACGATCAATGACATCCATCGACCGTTCCCGATTAAGACTGATGTCCGCCCCAAGCACGGCCGGGGGTCCAACTGCGGTCAGAAACAGCCAGACCAGAGGGAAGATGTAGTCACAGCTGCTGGCTGGAAACCCCGGGAAGTGATCGATTTCAGACACCGGGGGAAGCCCTTCAATAGCTGCGATGACGTTCGTCCGGTGTGGTCATGGAGAGATCATGAGGGAATAAACAGGAAGGAATAATCTGCTAGTATTCTGGAGCGTAGGATCATTTATACAATAGGTATATAAAATGATAACTACCGCAGTTATGGCCTTATTGACTTTCATCTCATATTACTGGCTCCGATGCGGCGACAAAACTTGCGGCTCTACCTGCGCCGGGCTCGGAGCGGGAACAAACCGCCGGCTCACCGCGGCCCAGTCGCCTGGCTTTGGAGGTCACCGGCAAGTGAGCAATACACAGACTGAAGGTCACACCGGGGGAGGGGGGGGGGGAGCAGGTTCCAGCCGGCGCCGCGACCGGGGGCGAGTCAATGTGCTCAGTGTGCACGGTCGACCACAGACGACAAAAGAGCCGCACGTGTGACGAAGAGCGTCATTGGCCGTTTCGTTCAGGTGCATGCGGCACCTGGGCACACTCAACGGACGCCAGGAGCATACATGATGGCGGCAGTTACGTTAACGGCGTCTGGGTTCTGCCAGACTTCAGCTGAGGGTTTGTCGTTACCCATCACCCGGCACGCCGCGGAACAGACGTACGTAACGCAAAACGGTGTAGAGCCGCTATAAAAACGGTCGATAGCTAAAGACTAAGCAGGTAATAGTTCTCTGGGGTTATGTAAAGATACGAGCGTTGCGTATGGATCTACTGCCCCATGTGAACCAAAAATAACGGCAATGGTTACACTGAGTCTTAAATATTTTTGCAAATCATCCTGACAAGTAATCTGAGCTAACTGCCAAAATGACTGCTAAAATGACTTTGAGGTAGTGAGAAGTCATCCACGCACATCTCAAATCATGGAAACTGTAATGATGCGACTCTGCCAAGTCACTGTTTTCAGCTAGTTGAAATCACGATTCCATGACTTGAAGAACTTGAAATGAGCTTCACACAAACATAACGAAACGACGCGAATTCACACGTCCAGCTATGGCATACATAGCTTGAAAGTGTCCTGTAATACCCGTTCAACCTACCCTGGACAGAAAAAGGCACAACGTTCATGCAACATGACGACCATCCACCTCAACCTCAACACTCGTCCATCTACTTAAAGCCCACCAAACAGACACAAGAAAATCCCACCACCACCCATTACAAACTGAAGCTTCCTTCTTTCCCTTTGTCACATCGGACTTCGCCCACCCTCACCACACCAATCTTACGCCCACCACACCACATTTCACCCCTCCCGCCTCCAACATTCACTCCAATCCCTCCGAATCCCATCCCCGGCGCGCGTGGCACTCACCACCAGCGTGCGTCCAATGATGCTGTGCGGCCCGGAGAGTGTCAGCAGCTTGTCCGAGATGTCCACCTTGGCGACGCCGTCGTCGCCCGCCGTCACGTTACCCAGGTCGCCGACGTGACGCACCTCGTCGTCAGGCCCGCCGTGCGTCTTGCCAAACGGGTTGTAGTGCGGGCCGGCGCTAACGCAGCCTGTCGGCGGAAAACGCTTAGATGGGGAGCAAGAGAGGAGATAAAATACGACGTTGGTGCTATGGAATGTAGTTTTACTACCTTAGGCTACAAAGATATAGGGTGGGAGACTTCCATTTCGCGTCTAGCTAGACGCGTTTAACTCTTAGACGCGTCAAGCTGGACGGCGGCTGCGTCTACCTGGCGACGACTTACTTTAGACGCGTCTAGCTTGGAAGTCTCCGTCCAACAGTTAGACGCCAAGTTAGGCGACAACTTGGACGTCTGCTCAGTTAGACGCCAGTTGGACGCCAGTGGAAGTCTCCGCCCATACTGATATAGCAAACACACACTGAGAATACTAATTGGTTAATACGATTTAATGGTGAAACGATGAGTCATATCTCCACTCTTCTGGGCCATCGTACCGTTGGTGCCATCGCCGAACTCGTGCACGTGGAATCCGTGGTCGCCCTTGGTGAGTCCCTTCACCTCGCCAGTCACCTTCACTGGCTGGTCGGAGCCCTGCAGGAGGCCACATACAGGTCTCAGTCAATAGTGTTTGATGATGAGACACAAAAGCAATAATGTGACATTTTATGGAATAGTGGATTTTTTAATGACAAATAAGATTTGAGATGGACTTTCTCCAAAGTTTGTTTAATCACTGAGCTTTAAATGCATACTTAGGTTTCTATCTTAGCAAATGACTGACATTGTAAATGGGCCACAATGCTTGTAGTCAGCTAATACAAATACAGAATACAGAATACAATTGTATCATTAATCAGTAGTGCCAGGATCCAAAAACTGATAGCAAGGAAAAGATTAAAATGATTGGGTAAAAACTAGACTTGAAATTATTCAAAATATTGATTATAGGATGATGATTGATTGACCATATGTAAATAAATATTGAAAATCAAGCAGTGAAAAAAACTGATAAAAGTATATTTGAAAGCTCATTTATCATGTGTTAAAGATAGCCCAAGTATTTGAATCATCATTCAACATAATAAGTTGTTTCTTAGACAATAGGTTTGAAGCATTATTAGAAAAAGGGTGCAAAAAACTGTCAGACATATGACTCACTGCCTGCTCGAAGTAGACCACTCCACTAGCCACATCTCCACGAAGAACGCACACAGCCTTGGCCGCCATTGTAGATGTTGGTTTTCTGAAGGGAAAATGGACATAGGAGTGAAATGTTAAGATGATGGCAGCAATACATTTTTGTTTTCCAAACCTTTTCTAAAAAAAAAAAAACATAAGCTACCTACATTTAAGATATAACAAAAGACAGAACAGCAATACACATAAAAATACAGAATAGCATAAGGTTATCTATTCTGGATTCATAATAGTGTATTCCATTCAGAATAAAAGGTCCAGTAAAATAGGACAGAATAGGTACTGAATAAGAGAGCAACTAAGAAAACAGCATAGAATAAGGTATTCTTATTGCTTTTTTAAATGTCCCTTCACCTTTTTTATTGGTAATTCAAATATTTTGAGGGAAGGTCATAACACCAAAACTGCATAAATCAATAGGGCTGTTCACGGGCCCTGTGTGCGGTCGGACCGCACACAGCCTCCAAGCTCCGCCCACTGCGTCCCTACGTCAGCCTTCCGTCACCGCACACAGCGATCGCTGTGGCCGGTCGGGACTGGCCACAGCGGACCGTCCACCGCACGCAGCCGTGACGTCAGAACCGCCTACCCATCCCCTACCCCCACGCCTGCTGGACGCACCGCACACAGCGCACGCAGCAGTGTGCGGTGCCCGTGAACACCCCTAATGTTTCTCATGCAAGACCTCACCATTTGCCAGCATTAAACAATTCAAACTGCAAGCATCATCAGCATGCAAAATTTAACTGAAAAAGGCCTGTAAACTAAAAATCTATCTGCACCCATCATTTCAGGACTCAAGGGGGAATATAAGACTTTCCAGAAGAATAATTTGATAATAAATTACAGACTTAACTACCAAATATAGAGGCAGGGGCTGATTGCATAACAAAAACTTAATTTAGCAAGCAAATGCAAAAATGAGCTATATCAATGTGAAGGAAACTGGTGATGGTACTGTCAATACAATGCAAAAATTTAAGGTAAGGTGTTGCCAATAACATACAATATTTTTGCCGAAATTCTTACCAAACTATCTTCAAGTAGTCTTCCTCCGAACCCCGCTTCCAGTCAAATGAAGAGCCTCAACAGAAAATGCCAGACATCGACCTCGTTTCATAAATGGACTTCGTAAATTACGCCTGGTCCATTCATTTGTATTCCGTTGCAAGAAACAGCGAGTCACAAAGGCGTGCATCTTGTAAGTATGAGCTATTTAAGAAGCGAAAGGCGTCAATAATAAACTTGCATTGATAGATCACTGAAAATGCAAAAGAAAAGTCGTCATACGCCACTGTACGAATTTATGAAACGAGGCCCACTCGCGCGAAGTCACGCCATCTACTTGTCGCAAATGCGCCGTTTTCGCTACCCACCCAGTCGATAAAACACTACATTTTTTCTCTTCGACTCAGTGACTTACCAATCAATGCTATATTTGGTTTACTAGGACTTTGCATGTTACAGTTCAATTTTAAAATAGTTATCAGGTGGTCACTGGTCATATTCTGCCAAAAGTAGAGTAGGTACTGGTATTGGGCCAAGGACATCCCAAAGAAGATCCATAAAATGTCATACCAAGTGGATGGTGTCCGAAGGGCGTGGCGGTTTACATAGCCTTGGGCGTGGCTCAAAACCTCACTAGCTATAGCTGAAAGAGCTGAAAAAGCCAAAAGGGTTCACGGCGGAACAGTATCATGTGCCCTACATTGGTGCTTGTCGAGGGATGCAGAGTGCAGACCTGAGACCGACACCTATTAATTAATGACCCCAAAGACGTTTGAGAGTCTCATGCTGGTCTCTGAGGGCTGCGAGAGGCTCTAAAAGGCAGAGTAGGTACAGTACAGGCTCCTACAGCGTACATACAGGCTGTAAGTAGCCATGCCTGATGCCGAACCCTGTACTCTGTAGACTGGTCCCACTACGGCCTCTTGGAATCCCACCAGCGCCTCTGATGGCCTAACACCGGTACGCAGGGGTGGAGATCTGTCAAAATGCCAGGGGGGGTCCAGGCCGGGCAGATGGAGGCGGGCTGGATGCAGTACCATTGACTTACATAGCAGTAATTCGTTTTCAGAGGGGGTCCTGACCCCCCCCCCCTCCGACCCCCCGAGATCTCCACCTCTGCCGGTAGGTACATACGTACAGGTCTCGCGGGTTTTAGCGGTAGGTTTTGCACCTAGAAAATTGAGTGTACTTCAGGCTATACATGGGTGTAGTTTTCCAAAATTCATTGGGGGTGCTCAATAGCTTTCAGAAAGGCATGCCATATTTTTCGTAGGTCTTTTTTTCAGCTGTTCTTTTTACTGTATCAGGCATCATGCAAGAAATGATGTTAAATCGATTCGAGAGCTTATTTTAACCCGCGCCCTGCTGGGGGGGGGGGGGGGGGGGTGTTTGGAACACCCTCCTTGTGGTTTTTCGCGAATATCTCAAAAACGGCGGCGCCTCCGCGCCGCCGTTTTTGGTACACCTTATCATACATCAATTCTACACATGTTGTGAAAATTTCAGACCAAGGTCATTCAAGGTCAGGTCACCAGGTCACTTGAAGTGACCTCACCTCATAAAAAGTTTCAATATCTGTCATAGCTACACCGAGTGACCGATCGCTTTGAAACTTTCAGCGATTGCTAAGAGCAATAGCATGTACAAAATGTATATCTCAGAATTTTGATATCGATGACCTAAGGTCAGGTCAATTTTGCGACCTCCCCATTATAAGTCAATGGGAGAAAATTGGAATGCGCCTCTTTTGGACGAAAGACATTATAAACAATCCCAAACACTGAATTACAAGTGGTTTAGACACACTGAACATGAAAATGGTGTCCGTGACCCCTGTTTATGCCCTGAGGTCATCTTAGGTCACGAATGGTATCTAACAGTTTTTCACAAATAACTTTTGATAGAGGCATGCTAGAGCGACGAAAACGCCTTAGATGTGTTCAGCTCGACGATACGGATCGACTGATATGCAGCATGACCCTTTCCGGTCAGGTCATGACCTTGACCTGAGGTCAAATTTTCAAGTTGACCTTTCAAGGTCAAGTTCTAGTTCATTCGATGCGTCTTGACGAGAGGAACACGATGCCGGTAAAAGTAAGCTCGTACAAGGCTTGGGTCAAAAGTTATTGCAGAAAAACTGTTTCCGAAAAAATCGGCTATTTTTACAGTTTTTGCCCCCTGCAGGCAAAACCGTTGACGTTAGGTCAAATCTGAGAATATTACTCAGAAAGGGCGTTAATAGGGCTATCGAATGCGCTTTTCCGCGGCGCTGTAGCTCTATTGGTTCCCAAGTTATGCGTTGGCTTCTTGGAAATTGTTGACATTCGACCTGGAAATCGGCGAAATTTTGCCTTCAATGACCTCTGGTGACCTGACCTTTGACCTGACCAAAAAATTGACCGAAGTGATCTCCTCATTATTTTTTACGCTCTTTCGAACGCCGCCTTCCGCGTATCGCTACGTGGCCCAGGAGCCGAGTTAGAAGGGGGGTGTTCAAACACCCCCCCCCCCCCCAGCAGGGCGTGGAAATCCAGGACCCCCAGCCGGGCGCGGGTTAATAGCGCCACTGTAAAACAATTTTGGCTCACCCAATGCATTCATAATCACGGAAGTTTTTTAACATATTTTAGAACACGCTGGGTTTAAAATTTTAAATTCAGACCCTACCGGACTTTAGGTAGGTCCGTGCTTAGGCAGCCTGGTCTGCATAGCTCTGCACGAATGAGCTTATATTGAGGGCTATCCAACATGACGCCTGACGGGACAGGCTCGATGGTTACTCTCCGGACATGGTTCTCGTGAAATATTGCATTTTGTTCCTGGAACTTAAACCTCGCCGGCACAGGCCATTTTGCGTCCTTCGATGGCACAAGGGAGGGGGGGTTGGTAAGACAGACCCTCCCTTGCGTTTGGCCTCTGATCGAGCTAGAGCTTCGCGGAAAAAAGAGCGTGTTGCCCGTCACGAGAGAAAGCCGATGATACCCAATTTTAAGGTCCTAGGTCATCGGTTGACCTTCCAGGTCAGGTCAATGACCCAAAAGTCGGGAAAATCGGGACCTGTTAGAAAGTCGTAAAGTGTAGCTGCTATGGGGTTTCCGGAGTGCTGATCACGAATATCGTGTTAGTTTTGATCACAGATGATGTCTTTAAGCATTTAGACCAGGTCGGGTCAGGTCAGTTCAGGTCAACCGGTAGGGGCCGTGACGGGTATTTGTAGTACGTGTCAACCGCCTCTGACAGCTTCGTAACATGTTACGAAGGCACCAAAACTACTTCGTAAATGTTCAAATGGTTGCTGAATTCGAATTCAGCTCGAAAAACTAGCCTAGAAACATGTAAAACTCGAAAAAGTGAACCGAGGTCACCAAAAGGTAAATGACCTGACCTGATCTTCAGGTGACCTTGACATCCACCCTAATGCATGGGAGCAACATCAAATCACATGTTTGAACGTTTGAAATCACGAAAAACATTGCAAAAGAGCGGCTAAGGCAAGCCGACATACGCCGAATCGCGATTCCGGCCAAACTTGGTCTCGGAAAGTAGGTCACAGGTCAAAGGTCCTTTCGGTCAGGGTCATGAAATTTTTAGAGAAGGTGTAGAATTCATCAATGCGAGGATACTGAAACTTTCGTCGCGATCGGCCGCTTTTTACGCGAGTTATTCGCGAAAAACCTTAGGGGGGTTGCATCAAACCCCCCCCCCACTCCTGTGCCGGCGAGGGTTAAATAATAACGCTATACTTGCCGTGCTATATTTACATTTATTTACTTAAAAATGATTTAATTTGATTAAAATATTTAAAAATAGCACAATGATTTCAATAAACGAAAGTCATAGATATGCTGCCGGATGCTGGGGCTCCTCATGAGGAGCATGGAGATGCCAGCTTGTCCACCTCCAGCGCGTCTCGAGCACAGGGCGATACTATGCGCGTTCAATGCTCATGTTAGGTCCGTCCTCCGGCTCCAATACGGAAGTGTCATTTGGAGCGGTGCAGCCCAGTCCCACCTGGTACGGCTGGAGCGGCTACAGCACTGCTTTCTCATGTGGCTAGGGGCTAAAACGCAGAGGAACTGTCCTATGGACTATCGTAGTCTACTGCAAACCTTTAAAACTGAGTCCATCAAAGCCCGCCTCATTCATACCGATGTCATGTTCTTGTACCAACTCCTTCACCACCGTACCGACTGCGCTTAGCTGGTATCGATGTTTGGCCTTAACCCTCGCCAGCACGGGGGGGGGGTTGATGCAACCTTCCCCCCCCCCTCGGTTTTTCGCGAATAACCCGCGTAAAAAGCGGCCGATCGCGACGAAACCTTAAGTACCCTCGCATTGATCAATTTTACACCAATCCTTAAAATTTCATGACCCTGAGCCAAATGACCTTTGACCTGTGACCTACTTTCCGAGACCATGTTTGGCCGGAATCGCGGTTCGGCGTATGTCGGCTCGCATTAGCCGCGCGTTTGCAAGCTTTTCGTGGTTTCAAACGTTCAAACATGTGATCTGATGTTGCTCCCATGCATGGTGGATGTCAAGGTCACCTGATGGTCAGGTCAGGTCACTGACCTTTGGTGACCTCGGTTCACTTTTTCGAGTTTTACATGTTTCTAGGCTAGTTTTTTTTTTAGCTGAACTCGAATTTATCAACCATTTCAACATTTACGAAGTAGTTTTGGTGCCTTCGTAAAATGCTACGAAGCTGTCAGAGGCGGTTGACACGTTCTACGAATACCCGTCACGACCCCTACCGGTTTACCTGACCTGACCTGACCCAACCTGGTCTAAATGCTTAAAGACATCATCTGTGATCAAAACTAACACGATATTCGTGATCAGCACCCCAGAAAACCCCATAGCAGCCACACTTTACGACTTTCTAACAGGTCCCGATTTTCCAGACTTTTGGGTTATTGACCTGACCTGAAAGGTCGGCCGATGATCTAGGACCTTAAAATTGGATATCATCGGCTTCCTCTCGTGACGGGCAACACGCTTGTTTTTCCTCGAAGCTCTAGCTCGATCAGGGGCCAAACGCGAGGGGGGTCATACCAACCCCCCCTTGTGCCGTCGAAGGACGCAAATTGGCCTGTGCCGGCGAGGGTTAATGTGCCTGGGAGGCG